GGGGGGGGGGGGTTAGAACTCATTTATTTTTGCTCTGATCTTTATTATTTCCTTTCTTATACTCACTTTGGGCTTTGTTTTTTGTTCTTTTTCTAGTTCTTTTAAGCGTAAAGTTAGATTGTGTATTTGAGACTTTTCTTGTTTTATTGAGGTAGGCCTGCAATGCTCTGAATTTTCCTCTTAGGACTGCTTTTGCTGTGTCCCACAGATTTGAGGTTGTTGTGTTCTCATTTTCATTTGTTTCAAGGTATCTTTTGATTTCTTCCTTGATCTCTGTATTAACCCATTTATTGTTTACTAACATGTTATTTAGTTGCCATGTCTCTGTGTGTTTTTCAGATTTCTCTTGTGATTGATTTCTGGTTTCATACCATTATAGTCAGAGAAAATGCTTCATATGATTTCAGTTTTCTTAAATTTATTGAGATTGTTTTGAGTTTTTTTTTTTTTTTAATTTTTTTTAACATATCTTTATTGATTTCAGAGAGAGGAAAGGAGAGGGAGAGAGAGAGAGAGAAACATCAATGATGAGAGAGTCACTGATTGGCTGCCTAGCCCGTAACCCGGGCATGTGCCCTGACTGGGACTCGAACCCCGATCTCCTGGATCCTAGGTCAATGCTCAGCCGCTGAGCCACGCCCAGCCGGGCTGTTTTGAGTCTTAACATGTGGTCTATCCTAGAAAGTGTTCCATGTCCACTTGAAAAGAATGCATATTCTGCTGCTTTGGGGCGAAATGCTCTGAAGATAACAATTAAATTCATCTGGTCTAGTGTGTCATTTAAGGCCACCGTTTCCTTGGTGATTTTTTTGTCTGGAAAATGTATCCATTGATGTGAATGGGTTGTTAAAATCCCCTTCTATGACTGTATTACTGTCAGTTTTCCTTTATGTCCTAGATTGGCTTTACATAGTTGGGTGCTCCTTTGTTGGACACACATATGTTTACAAGGGTTATGTCCTCTTGTCAGATCGATCCCTTTATCACTATGTAGTGTCCTTCTTTGTGTCTTATTATCGCCCCCCCTTTTTTTTTTTAATATATCTTTATTGATTTCATAGAGAGGAAAGGAAAAGGAGAGAGAGAGAGAAACATCAATGATGAGAGAATCATTGATTGGCTGCCTCCTGCACGCCCTCGACTGGGGATCGGGCCTGCAAGCCGTGCATGTGCCCTGACCAGGAATCGAACCCTGATCGCCTGGATCCTGGGTCGATGCTCAACTGCTGAGCCATGCCTGGCTGGGCTTCTTGTTGTTGTTTTTTAATCTTCACCTGAGGATATTTTTTCCATTGCTTTTCAGAGAGAGTGGAAGGAAGAGAGAGAGAGAGAAACATTGATGTGAGAGAGACACATCAATGGGTTGCCTCCCACACACTCCCAACCAGGGCTTAAGCCTGCAACCGAGGTACATGCCGTTGGCCAGAATCAAACACAGGACCCTTCAGTCTGTGGGCCGGCCAGGGCTGTTGCCCTTGTTTTAAAGTGTATTTTGTCTCAGAAGTATTGCACCAGCTTTTTTTTTCATTTCCTTTTCCATGAATTACTGTTCTCCGTCTCTTTCCTGTTAGTCTGCGTGTCTTGTGTACTGAGGCGGGTCTCTCGTAGACAGTATAAATATGGGTCTTGTTTTCTTACCCATTCAGCTATAGGGTGTTTTTTGAAGTGATAAAGAGAGAAGGGATGGATGTATGAATGTATGTATTTTTAGTAGGGAATGAATCCATTGAAAGTGATAAAATAACTTTTCTCTATTTTACCCCTTCCATATTTTCTTCCTTAAAAATACATTTTTAAAATCCCTTGTAGATTTACCAGACCAGAGCACTTAGGAAGCAGTGCCAAGATCAAATGTAGTGGTTGCCATAGCTACCAGGAATCCACGAAACAGCTCACCATGAAGAAACTGCCTATTGTAGCCTGCTTTCATCTCAAAGTAAGTTTTCCAAAAAAACTTGATAGCAGACTCCACTTTTAGACCCTAGTACAACGTGGAGCCTGCTGGTCTGGTGTGCAGAGCGCTTTTGGTGTTTGCAGTGGCTCCTTAGGAGAGCTATGGAGGGGCAGTAAGTTGTACTCTTTCCCTACCTTCTGTTGCCAGGAGAAGCCTGTGTGTGAACAAGAAGTAATTAATGCGTAATGAAAATGGGGCGTGAGTTGCTCCACTGGGGTTGGGGGTTGTTAAGGTTTTACCACTATTACCTAAATTCTTCCTTCCTCACCTCAAGCTTTCTGTTTTTATTTTACTTAAAAGCAAACTCCCTTAGCATTATGATCTAGTCCAGGATTTGGCGAGCGCCTTCTATAAAGGTCAAATAGTAAATATTCTAGGGTTTGCAGCCATGTGATCTCTGCTTTATGTTCTTTGTTTTATTTTATGACCCTTTAAAAACGTTAAAAAACAAAACAAGAAACTATTTGTAGCTTCCTTGCTGGGTTTGGTGGCCCCTGATGTAGCCATGGGACTGTCTCTTGTCTTGTGAAAAGAACAGTGTGTCTGTTTGGCTCCCAGAGGTTACTTTCCTTGCACTTGGTTGGGTTTATTGTAAGATTCCTTTTTTTGTACACTGAGTACACAGAGAAGCACCATTGGCATAACTCCGTTACCACACCATTCCTCTTCCCCTCTCCCCATTCCTTCAGCGATTTGAACACTCGGCCAAACTGAGGCGGAAGATCACCACATATGTGTCCTTCCCCCTGGAGCTGGACATGACCCCGTTCATGGCGTCCAGGTAGGACGGCTTCTCCTGCTCTGTTGCCAGTGGGCGGCTCTGTTAGGCTGGTGGTGGGCACGGGCTCCACAACGAGACAGTTACAGGCGCTGATGTGACCGTAAGTGCTCAATCGAATCGTTGTTCTGATCTTAACCCAAGACACATTTTACTTTTTAAATGTTTACTTACTGATTTTATTATTGTTTGTTTTCATTCCTCACCCAAGGGTATTTTTTCCATTGCTTCCTGGACGGGGGGAGACAGAGAGGGAGAGACAGACATCGATTGGTTGCCTCCCACCCCCCCGGCCGAGGTCTGTGCAGCTGGAATTGAACCCCGACCCTCCAGTCCATGGCCCAGTGCTAACCACTGAGCAAGCCGGCTGGGGCTTTACTGATTTTAGAGGGAGGAAGGGGGAGAGGCAGGAACATTGGTTGGTTGGTGCACTTACTTATGTCTTTGGTTGATTCTTCAACGTGCCCTGACCAGGGACCAAACCCATAACCTTGGCGAATTGGGACGACATTCTACCCAAACGAGCTACCCAGCCAAGGCCCCAAGACACATTTTAGTTTAATGAGTTATTTTTTCTAAGATGTGTTGTTGATTTGAGTTTTCCCAAGTAATCCTTTGTCAAGGTGGGATCACAGTTAGAAGGCAGCATCTTAGCTGAAGGAATGGATTTTGGAATACAGATAAACAGTTGATTTTGCAGTTGTAGATTCCATTTTTCTTGTTTTCAAATCTTGATATTATAGACTACTTAAAATTTACCCTCCAGAAAATGCAGCACTTACTAATATATCAGCTACATGTTGGTTTCCTGGGGCCACTATAAAAAATTACAAACTTGGTGGCTGAAAGGAGGTTGGCAGTTCTGTGGTTCCCTGGAAGGGCCCAGGGAAGATTTCATTCCTTGCCAGGAGGTGTTCCAACCAGGTAGACCCAGGCAGGTCCACACCTCAGGGCAGGTGTGCTCTCCGCATTCATTTCGCCAGCCTGGGTCTCTGTAGAAGAATTAGAAAGTGTATATAAAACTGACCCAGCCTGGTGTGGCTCAGTGGTTGAGCATTGACCTATGAACCAAGAGGTCAGGGTTTGATTCCTGGTCAGGGCACATGCCCGGATTTGGGCTCAACCCCCAATAGGGGGCGTGCAGGAGGCAGCCGATCAATGACTCTTTCATCATTGATGTTTCTCTCTCTCTCCTTCTCCCTTCCTCTCTCTGAAATCAGTAAAAACATTTTTATAAAGGATCCAGCACAGTGTCTAGTATTATCAACTAAAGTCTCTTTAGTTCAGTTATTTTCAACCCGTGTGCCTCAAGCATTTTTAAAACACGCAGTATCTGACTAGTCAGAGCACTAACCTCGTTTCCCTTAGATTGTCGAATAAAAAAGTGACAACAGCAGTAGCCCTGCAGTGTGAGTGAATCAAAATTATACCTATTTTTTTGTTAGATCGGCAGAATGTGTGTGCGTGCGTGTGCACATGCAGGCTTATGTGCCATGAGATAATAAAGGCTGAAAAGTACTGTTTTAGTTAATCAGTTTAAATGGTGCTGAGTTTTGCTGTTGTTTGTTGCAGCAAAGAGAGCAGGATGAATGGACAGTACCAGCAGCCATCAGATAGTCTCAGTAATGACAACAAGTAAGTGGTGCCCTGGGTGGGCCTTGGATGTCTCAGGCGGGGCGGGAGCCTGGTCCTGGGGCAGAGCTTGTGGCGTTTCCCAGGGAGACGCTGCATTTATGAGCAGTGACGGCCAAGCTCGTTTCCTGGGGCACTAGCCTTCTTCCTGCCGTGTTGCCCGTTGATCTGTTACGAAAATACTTCAGCCTCTATCAGAAGAGGGCTCTTCACACCTTGATCATACAGCTCCCTCCTGCCATAGAGCCTGACCCCTTTTCTCCTGGCCATTGCGGGCCCAGAGGGCAAGCTCAGTGTCTGAACTCTGAGCCCCGTGTTCTCCTCCTTCACCGGCATTGCAGCGAGGCCTCTGCTCTTTTCCCTGCCGTCCTTTCACCACAGTGTGGCAGGAGAATGAGAGGAGAGTGGTTACAGTATCACCTAGCACCAGTTACTCTCACCACTTGCACTGGGCATAGCTCCACTGAAGACGCTTGAGCCGAGGGGGGCCACGCAGGCACCTCTGCGCACCCGCCAGCTCTGATTCCTTGGCCGTTGCTCCTTGGGGTTGGTGAGCTACCCCTCCCTGTGCAGGCTTCCAGTTGTCGGTACTGAAGGACGTCTAATGATGGTGAAGTCGAGGTAACTGCCGTGCCTCTCCTCTCCTTTCCTCACAATCCAGGTACTCCTTATTTGCAGTCGTCAACCACCAGGGGACCCTGGAGAGTGGTCACTACACCAGCTTCATCCGGCAGCACAAGGACCAGTGGTTCAAGTGTGACGACGCCATCATCACGAAGGCCAGCATCGAGGACGTGCTGGACAGCGAGGGGTACGTCGGGGGCATGTCTCTGCATGTACACCTGAACCCAAGCACGGCTGTTTTTAGTGCCATTCAAGGATGCTCACTTTTGGTGCTTGTTCTGGACGAATGCCAGCCTCGCTGGATTGCTGGCCACTGGGTAGGGGGCGATATCCCTGAGCATTAATGCTCTGATCAGTTGCGGCAGGAGCTCGGGCACGTTTTTCACAGCTCTCCCCCCGTTTCGTTCCTCCTGGCACATCCTTGTCCACCTTCAGCTTCGCTCAGGCCTTGGCCTCGAGACCATCATTAGACCCCTAGCCCCAGGGGTGAGCTCCTGTGACTGCGAGGTGCGTCCGTATTTTTCCAAGCTGTGGGGAAGCCCCCTGGGAGAGTCTGCATGGAAGAATTTGTGTTGGAGAGGCAGCCTTGTTGCAGTGAGGAGGCCAGAGCGAGGGGTGTAGGCTGCACCCACTGCAGGAGTTTCACCACAGGTAGCACTGACACAGGCCCTGGCGTCAGGGACAGGAGAGGCCAGGTTTGGGGCTGTGGGGGCAGGACCGACAGGGCACATGGCTGCCTGCTGGATGGGCGGGCGGGCGGATGGACTTAGGGGGCTTGCGCATTAGGTGGGGGCACTGTCACTACCTAGCCAAGGACCTACCTCCTTGCGGACTAAGAACCAAAAAACCATCCAACCAAGAAATCAGACTGCTGATTGTGCTGAGGCCCCAGGGCAGGTCCGGTTGGGGAGGGTCGGTCTTGCCTAGACCTCTTGTGAACTAGAACTAAGCTACTTCTGTCTTTGCTCTTCAGATACCTGCTGTTCTACCACAAACAGTTCCTGGAGTATGAGTAGCCTTATCATCCGCTGGTCAGAAAAGAGAAGGCCATGAATTGCAAGCCCCACAAAATGACTCCAGCCACCCAGCATCACGACACCACCATCCACCCCAAATCCCCTGTGACACAAGCATCGAACCCTCTGCCTCCACAGCCTGGGCTCAGGGTTGTGGGGATCGAGTGGACAGCACTGTGGGAGAGGCTCCAGGAACTGCACAGCACAAGCAAACTAAAGGGAGGGGCAGAGTGGGTGTGTCACTAGTGTATGTCCTGCTCCTCAAACTGTGTGGGTGACTGGGGTGGTGTCCCCGCAGCACCAAGCAGTCTCACCCTGGTGCTTCAGTTCTACCACGTGACGGCACAGAGTGTTAAAAGGCGCCAGCCTATTTTAAAATCATGGCTCAGTGAAGCAGTAGAAAAGACAAAGGTATCGTGCAGGTCAGGACTCTGCAAGTGTCAGTGTGAGTTTAGTGTGAAGTCTGTGTAGTGGCAAACTCAGATTCTGCCAGCAGAGCCTGCGGAGTGGAAGACGCTGCCTGGGATTGTCAGTACACCTGTGCGGTGACATGGCAGACGCATGTGGAGGCGCCAGCCTGGGCTCGCCCCTCCCTCCGTGTTCCAGGAACAACATTTTCTTATCTCCTCCCCCACCCCTGCCACCCCCCCGCCGCCTTCCAGGGTGGTGAATTTCGTAAGTGTAATCTTAGTAATGTGAATGAGTCAAGTTTATCCTGAAATTTAGATAGTTTTTTCGTTCCTGAGAGGGAAGCTTGCTTTGGGTGCTGTTCGTTGCTGCGCCCGCCCCCATCCTTCGGAAGCACCTGTGTCCTGGGTGAAGCTGCGGGTGCGAGTCAGGTGCAGGTACAGCTGCCCCCTCCGGGGACTCTGGAGTAAATGAAGCGTTTTTCAGTGGAGTCATTGTTTTCCTTCACGTTTTCTCGGCTGCCTGTCCTGTTGGCTGTCCCTGTCACTGATGTGTCTGGTGGCTGGTGTGTTGAGAGGAAGCTGGAGTGGTCTCCAGTGGAGACGGACGGCGTTGCATCGCTGAGGGCCTCTGCTTTCCCTTCAGTGTAGTTTAAATTGTGGAAGAAGTGACTTTGTGATTGACCTGTGGAAAGAGCTGGTAGAGGAATGCCTTGTCCTTGTGAGGTATGTTGCATGCATCTATCTGTCCAAATCCCAACTTAGATATTTTGGTCCATTTCTGAGATACTGGACCCAGAGATGTAGGAGAGGAAGAGTTCCCGCAGTGTCGTTTGTGAAGCAAGCTGTCTCGTCATGCGAGCCGTCTGCATCTGGGCCGTGGTGTGCTCACTCTCCGAGAAGAGGACAGTCCTCTATTTCAGGGCAGCAAACCTTTCATAAAGAGCCGGCTGGTAAACATCTTAGGCTTTGTGAGTCTCTTGCCACAGGTAATATGTAAACAAATGAGCCTAGCTTTGTTCCAGTAAAACTTTATGGACACAAGTTTGAATTTCATGTAATTTTTACATCATAAAAATTTTTTCACTGTTTAAAATGTGTTAACTATTTTTAGCTGACAGTCATACAGAAGCAGGCAGTGGACCAGATCTAGCTCATTAGCTGGTTGAGTTAGGGGACTAGTCACTTCAGTTGAGTAAAGTACTAGAATATGCAAAGCAGCAATCCTGCAGAATCATCATATATGGCAAAATTCCTAGTGAGAGGTTTTCTTTTTCTTTATTTTATCTTTTCCATTACCTTTCATCCCCCTGTGCCCTCCTCCAGCTCTACTCACTCCCCCTCCCCCGGCAGTCCCCACACTGTTGTCCATGTCCATGAGTTTTGTTCTCTCTGTTTCTCAATCCCTCCAGCCCCCCCACAGCAGCCAGCCTGCTTTCTGTCCATGAGTCTGTCTCTATGCTTGTTTGTTGATTAGATTCCACATATGAGTGAGATCCTGTGGTACGTGTCTTTCTCTGACTGGCTTATTTCACTTCGCATGATGTTCTCCAGGTCTCTCCCTGCTGCCGCAAAGGATGAGAGTTCCTTCCTTTTAATGACTGCGTTGTATTCCGTGGTGTGCATGGCCACAGCTGTTTTACCTGCTCACCAACTAAAGGGCACTTGGGCTGCTTCCAGATCTTGGCTACTGGAAACGATGCTGCAGTGAGCGTAGGGGCCTGGTTTTTGAGCCATTTGCTCAGCCAGTTCTCAGTTATGTTTCTGCGTTTATGGAACACGGTTTTTAAAGCATGTTTTAAAAATAGCAAGTGTTTTCAGAGAAGTATACATGGGTGCAGATTTTTAGAAATGGCCACGTGTTCAAGGTGTGTGTGTGTGTGTGAGAGAGAGAGAGAGAGACTGCTAGGAAGTTTCTTTTGGGGAGCGGTGTGGTGGTTTAATAATGCGCAAATCTAATGGAAAGGAGAGCTGGCTGAGGTTGGCGTGAGGGCTTCTGAGCTGTGAAGGCTTCCTGCGTTTACAGTCTGTGTCATCGCTTCATTGGAGTGTTATAAATGCAGAGTGGGGACGAAGCAGCTGTGTTGACCTTGGAGTTTCTGGAAGATTACCTGTGGTTTGGGCGCCTCTGCTGCTCCCCTGCACCTCTTCCTGTCTTTGTTGGTATCCAGAGGCTCAGCTGCTCTGAGAACTCAAGGACTTGGGAAAGACAGTGAGGACATCATTTTAAACTTTCATATTCGCATTAAGAGAGTTCTCTTTCTTCACTTGGCATTGGTGTTCTAAGCGCTTGCCTCTCTGCTGCTGAGAAATCTGCTGCCACTGGGAGGACAACTGGGGGAAGGGGCTGCTGCCCTGGTGCTTGCCCCCCGCCGAGATCCTGTGGTCGACCTGCTTATTTGAATTTACCTTGTTAGGAACAAAATATTACATGATGGTTCTGGAAATTTTCTTTTTTAAAAGCTCCCAATCTAGCTTTTCTTTTTTTTTTTTAATATATCTTTATTGATTTCAGACAGAGGAAAGGAGAGGGAGGGAGAGAGAGATAGAAACATCAATGAGTCATTGATCAAGCCCACAACCCGGGCATGTGCCCTGACCGGGAATCGAACCCTGATCGCCTGGATCCTATGTTGACACTCAACCGCTGAGCCACGCCCGGCCGGGCCCAATCTAGCTATTAAATTCAGGAAAATGGTCGTTTCCTAACAACTGCTCTTGTGTAGCTGTTCCTGTTGTTACTGAGTGTATTTGACCACTAAGGAATCATTAGGTGACCCCCTCACTCCCATCAGTGTGTTTAAAATAACCTGAATTTCGGAAATATTGGCTGCCACTCCCTTGCTCCACATTGAAACAGGGCCTTTCCCTCTTCAGATGTGTGGAGTGAGTTCCGAGCTGTGTAGAGTGCGGGATAGTGCTCGCAGGGCCAGAGCCGAGTGGGCAGCCTGGGGATTGAGTGGCCAGACCTTCCTCCAGCCCTTGTCACCCTCTCCTGTCAGGTGCTAGAATGTCCTAGGACTCTCCTTGCAGCAGCCCCTGCACCCAGCATACCCAAGCTTCTGTGGTTTGGCTTAGAGTGTATGCTTTCATTGTGTAAAATTGCTGGGGTTGGGTATTTTTTTTGGGGGGGGGGGTTGGTTGTTTTTGATCATTGAAGTGACTGTTATAATCAAAACAGAAATTGTAAGAAAAAGATTCCTATGATCGTGTTGTGATGTAACTGCCAGGATGATGACATGCTTTTACCTATTGTTCTGAGGAGCTGTGGCTCTTCCCTCCCCGATGGCTTGTAGTCTTTCCTATGTCATAATAAAGTTACATTTTATTCTGAAAATTGGCTGGCTCTCCCCTTCCTCACACCAGCAGCCAAAGAGAGGGGCAGAGGAGGGGAGTGCCCAGGGTGTGGACAACCACCAGGGCAGGCAGGCCTGCCAGTGTAGGACCTGCTGAGGTCAGTGGCCAGAGCTGCAGCCTTGGTTTGCGCCGACCACAAGACTGCTCTGGATGTCGGAAAGTCTGCGCAGCCTGCGTTTCCCCGTTGTCTATGTGTGGCCCGCTGTTGCTTCAACCCTCTCCTCTTGTGGGCAGGAGGGTGACGTATCCTGGATTCAGGACCACCGCCAGCCTTCCGACTGATCTGCATAAAAGTCACCTGAGGCCTTAAAATATGGACTCCTTGCCAGAGTGTGATGACTACACCAGGATGTGGTGTAGGAATATACATTTACAGGCAGCTCCCCAAGTGGTCAGAAAGGAGCATGTGTAAGTGGAGAAGCAGAGGAGACCGGCGCAGTTGGTGCCGCCCTTGGTTCTGCAGCTGCTCCCCGGGCTGTCGTGGACCTGTGAGTCCTTCACCTCGCCCACTGCCCTCACTGTCCCTGCCTGAGAGACCCGAACCTTTGTTTCCAAAGTCTCCTTTTTCGAATGCCTTTCTTGCAAGTTCTTTTAGTTCCCTTACACAGAAATACCAAGAGGTGCTAGAGAATCTCTTGGGGTTCATTCAGCCTTAGGCCTCCTGTCCCCATTGTGCAGCAGTCTCTTCAAGTTAAATAGAACCAGGGTTGTCTCTCCCAGGGGAGCTCCACTTTCGGGGGCCAAGACCTTCAAACCAGCAGAGCCCAAGTCTTCCAGGACAGGAATAAGAAAAATGTGTGATTAGATTATTAACATAATGCTGAAAAGTGCCAGTCCCGCTCCCACCCCTTGGACCAGTATGTTTTGGCTGTGGGGGAGTCAGCACCATATAATGGTCTCTGGTTAAAAGCATACAAGTCATCCCAGAAGAGAAAAGCCTCAGAGCCATAATGCTCACCACAACGGGCTTCCGTGAGCTCGGCTGCTTCTCTGTGGTGGGCAGTGTACTCACAGCAGCTCATAGACTGAGCCCAGGGCTGCGTTTCCTTTGCTGTGAATTGGTTTCCCTGATCAGAAGCAGTGCTGCATGGAATGTTGAAACGAGAGATGGAGGTGCTGACAAGCAGGGTAGGCAAATTCATATCTAGAATATTCTAGTGAAGAGAAATTGCTGCCTCCTCCATTGACCCTGTTCCAGCCTCCACCTCTGGATGGCCACTCACTTCATGCCAGGCAAGCGTGGTGTCTGGGGAAGGAAGCTCCTGCGTGCACAGGCATGCTGCTTTGTGCCCCGGGGCATGAAGAGCATCCTCTGAATTCTCATGGGTGCGATTGGCTGGATACCCTCACAGTCTGCCCCTTTTGGGTGATCTGTCCCCATCCAGGTCTTGTCACTCATCTTTAAATCCTATCCCAAGTCCTTGACCATCCATCCAAGCTATTAGCAATATCCCATAAATCCGTGTAGATCAGTACTTTCGGTCCTACCTTTCGAGACAAAGCTGGTAACCAGGTGTCCAGCCCCAGGTTCTGCTTACGGGGTTTCCTTCGCTGTCCTGCGGGGTTCTCCTCAGTCATCTGGTCAGAGGAATACTAAGGAGGCCATGCAGCGGGGGGCTGTTGACAGAGTGAGCCACCTGCTCGTGCAGTTACACTAACTTCTGGACATGCCCAGACTCGGTCTCTTACATGCTATTTCCGCCCAACCTCAAGGCTAAGCAAGTTGGACAACACCCAGACTCTCTTATGGGCTGCTCAGGCTGCGTGGCCAACTGCTGTCCTATGGTTAGGTGTTCAGTCTCCGCTAAGTCCAAGAACAGCAAAGAAGCTGTTTCTAAAAGGAATAAATGTCGCAGAAGAGGGTGCAGGTTTGCTCTGCCCTGAAGCCCTGGAGGTCTGCTGTTCCCTCCAGTCCTTGCTAGAGTCTCCGTAAGGCCTCCTTGTTTGCCCTGGGTCCTGAGGACCAGTGGGTCTCTCGGAACCGTGAGGTTCGAGTGGTGGTGCAGCATGGACAGCCTGAACTGGGTGTCTTGGGTCTCGCTGACACGGAGCCGCGCTCTGCCTGGGCAGGTGGGTCGAATGAACACACTGCGTGGGCTGCCCCGAACCCCAGCAGGTCCTGCGCAGCGTTGTCTCTGCGCCGTAGCAGGTGGTGCAGGTGTAGCAGCTTCCACTTTGAGAGGATATCTTGATACGCTTCGAACCACTGAAACTTCATTCAGTTTGGGAACCCCTGAGTTTTGGGGAGTTTATTTCTCACGCTTTAGTTCACTTATTAAAGCATCTATAGAATATGCTACTTCTTGCTTATCAGCTCCAGTCAGCAAAATGTCATTATTGTGAGCCAGAGTAATATTTTATGAAATATCAAGATGGTCGATATTTCTCTAGATTTTATTACAGCAGAGTTAATGAATTTAGCTCTAAGGCTAAAGGCTATGCCATGACGGTAAACTGTTGGCCCTGCCAGGGAAAGCAAAGTGCTCTGGTGGTCCTTACAGGTGGGCAGAGAGAGCAAGGCAGTAGCCAGGGCACTGGGTGCACGCTTAGAGCCAGGGGCAAGGCGACTGGCTCCGTGAAGACACAGCATCTGGGACGGACACAGGAGCAGCTTCGGCCCAACGTGCCGACTGGGGTCATGGTACAGGCTCAGCTTCGCCTCATTGTGCTTCACTGACGCTGCCTTTTTTTTTTTTTTTTTTTTTTT